CAGAGCACAAGAAGAAAGAGACAGCCCTGCCAGGACATTCCCTTAGGGGAACCGAGCAGAGCCCCGCTGCAACAGCTCTCTCTAGAAGAGCAGGCTTGCTACATCCTGCACAGAGACCATTCTCCACTGCATCCCAGCTCCAGGGATAGCCTGACCTCCCAACAAGTCGGGATCCCTTTCCCTCCAGAGCTGTCCTATTGCAACTCCAGCCTCCAGAGCTGTCTCTTTGCAGCTCCAGGTATAGCCCTGCTCCCCAGTGAATCAGGATACCTTTTTCCCCCCAGAGTTGTAACACTCGAAATTCCAAACACAAGTGTGCAATGACTGCATGATTTCTTCAGTTAATACAGGGTTGGTGATTCAGAAAGAGAAAATGCCGGTCTTTGGAATCAGCCCATGGAGCCTCTATTAAATTGTGTCCAAATATTACTGATGGGAAAACAGGACACTATGCAAGGTCTGACCCTGGTAGTAGCTTCCTTTTGCTTCCAATGCAAAGTGACAACATTGCTGTGTGTTTTAGGTTGCTTTCAACTGCTGTGATAAAACACTGGCCACAAGCATCAAGATAAAAGGGTTTATGCTGCCTTTTAACACCCAGCTCATAAGCTGTCACTGAAGCAAATCAGTGCCAGAACTCAAGGCAGGAACAGAGGTAAGAACCACCGAAGAGCTCTACTTACTGGGTTGCTCTCTCATTCATCCTCAGCTTGTTTTCCAGTACAACCTAGGTCCACCTGCTCAGGGATGACATCACACACAGTGGGTTAGACCCTGCCTTATCAAACACCAATCAAGAACGTGCCCCACGGACTGTCATAGGCCAATCAGATTGCGGTGATCTGCACCGGCGACTCCCTCAGCTAACTTGGCTGTGCCAAGATGAAAGCTAACACTAACTAGGAGTATGCCTGGAAAGAACATTTCCCACAGGGAAGGCATATCAGGCGAGCTGTCATCCTTTCCCAATGTTCAAGAGTTCAAAAAAAGTTTCCTGAATGTGTATCTGGCCTATTCAGACCAGTCCGATCTTTCAAACATATAAAGAATTAATAAGTTTTGTTGTATTTCAGACTCCTTCCTGCTGAGAACATGTATCACAGACAGATAAAAAAGGAACAGTCTTCCTTTCTGCATTCAGCAGGGTAAATTTGGTCGAACAAGGGGACCATAGGGCTGATTTCACCATTTTTACCAGTTTATACCGCCTTTTTATGGAGCCCTGAAAAGATCTAGGAAGGGTCTCAACAGTAATGTGGCATTGCCTTTGCCTTCAGCAGGGGACTTTTGATTCACCTGTGGAAGGTAAAGCCAGGTATATAATACCAATGAGCCATATGCGAATATATTTCACTATTGTATCAATTCAGTTGAAACACAGATCAAACTGTCACGTGGACATTAAACTGAATGCTGAAAGTCGCACACAGTTACCGGCACTGCATGTTCATATTTGGTCCACGCTCTAATGGGAATTCATTATGTATTTATCCGTGACAACGTAAAAAGCAGTTAATTTACTAGATGTAAAATCCTCACTTAAATAAAAAGCTCTCCGAAGTTAACAAAACCGAAATGATGCTAATAGCAAACCATATCAAATCTGCAAGGTCACTATCACCACTGATAGGTGTGCTGAGGCAAGTGAGGTGACAGAGACCAGAAGATCATGTTCTGAGCAAGACTTTCAAAGATCTGAGGCAGAGAGAGAGAAAGATTAAAAGACTACCATATACTGACACATCCATGGCTGGAAAGAGCTATCAAGAGGCAGCAGGCATCTGGGAAAGAACTTTCTTTTTAGCTTAAAGAGCAGAAATACATTGGCATTGCCTTTGGGACGGGAAGGCAACCAAGTTTTAATTGGTTTGAAAATCTGGATTGGAATATCCCTGCAGTCATGAATGAAACAATCTTATGCTGCAGAAGTTGCGTGAGTCTTGGCCAACCACCTGCCTTGGGAATTGTTTTGCTTGGGTCTTTCATGGAACAGAGAGTCCTTGTTTTGTGGTCGCCTCACTTCAAGTGATAATCCTTCATAGCCTTGTTTGAGCAGAGGATTCAGAATGAAAAAAAAAACATCTGGGGTGTGTGTGGGGGATCAAATGCTCAGTGCCTTGTGTTGTGGGGCTGTAAGCTGCCATTTGCTTTTTTCCACACCTAGCACGATGGTTTCCAGATGAGAAAGGCTGGTGTTAGCAGAGCCTGCAGAGATGGAAACTCTACTTTTTGAAAGCACTCTACGGCTCCTGCCACTCACAAGGGGAGAAAGATTAAGGGGTGTGATCAAAGGGATTGCTCAGCAATTTCTAACTCCTCACACAAGGGAGCAAACTCTCTTATCAATTAAGTCCCACTTTCTCAGCTTGGAAATATTTGGAGTAAGCCTCACCGAGAACTTCCAGCATTTGGATTGGAGTGGTTGCCTAGCAAGTGAGAAAGGCAAAAGAGCAGGGAAACCAAATTTAGCTGTCTAATAATAGTTTTGATATGCAGAGTTTTCGGTTTTAAGATATGGTTTTAAATATATTACTGAGAGATGCCAGGTCTTAACTCCACAGGGCTCCATAATACCTTTATCAGGAGGCATCATTTTAAACTGAATCTCAACAGAATGGAGTCCCTCCTTGAACTCAGAAGCTAGGGCCAATGAAGTCTGCTATTTGAATAGGAATTGTGGGTAAGGGAATCATATTTCAGAGTGTAGAACTCAGGATCACCCTTAAAGTTTTCAGAGCAGAAGCCATGCTGTGGTGAAGGCGTAAGTCACAAACAATGCTACACCAATTCGGGGTTATGATTATTAGGGTGGTATTTATTTAAAGGGGAAAAAACTTACAGATCACTGTCCCAGGCAACAGCCCTCTACGCAACCAGGAAAGGAGTCTAGTCGCAGGCGGAGCAGGAAGTGAAGAGAGAGAGGAGAGGGAAGTGGCCGCTTTTTTAAAGGGAGAGAAACCACGCCCCAGTGGGCTGGTACCTCAGCGGTGATAGGCTGGAGGAGTGGGAGGACCTCCCGCAACACCTCCCCCTTTTGTTTAAATAAGAGAGTTCTAAACCTACTATGAAATTATATACAATAAGTACAAATATCCTATTCTAACTAGCTTAGGTCTTGTATAATAAATAACTTGGCCAAGTCATGAGAGAAAGTAACTACATTTATATAGTCTTCAACCCCATCGAAGATCTGAGAAGGGAAATAATGTTACCTGGGTAATTAGGAAGTTCAGTAAAACAACTTCCAAAACATGCAACAAATTACAGAGACAACTAGCTACCTGGGCAATCACCCAAAGTCACATTAGCAGCGTTGAAGCAACCAACTTTGGCTAAGGCCTAACATAACTGACATACCATTTTCTAAGGCAAGCAACTTTTTAAAACTATCTTACCCTGTCTTGGCAGGATATGACAGTCCTGTTTTATCCATTGATGCATGCTCTGTATCTTTGTCAGTTGTTGAGGTATGGGCATTTCTTTGCCCAAACGCCAGTTCTGCCAAAAAGAAAGGCTCCAGGTGGAGTGTCTTTGGTGCTCAACATTCTCTCGGGAATAGAGTGGTGTTGCCAGGAGCAATTGTGTCTCACTACCACAAAACTCTGAGTTAGGTTAAAGGCCATTTTCTACAGCTCTTTGAAGAAGTTGAAGATTATCTATCTATACTGAGTATAATCTCTATATATCTAAAGAACCTGATTAGTCTATTATAAATGACAAACTTAGATGACTATTAGTCTATATAATTCTCAATATCTATCTAACTTAAAGACTAAGACAATAAACGACTGTGAAACAAATGAGGACAATGACCTCCAAATATAAACAATGTACAAATAAACATTGCAGTAGGTAAATATATATCAATACACAATCATTATATAAGTATCTTAATCAGAGGTAGAAATGTACACTGCAATATGGTAAATATATACAATATATATATATATCAATACAATATATGTCAATACATAAAAAAATGTTTTAAACAGAGGTAGAAACATGCATGCGTACAATAGTCAATATAATTTAACTTTGTATCAATATACAAGACAAATACCAATGTATTTGTCTAAAAACAGTAACTCACAATTACAAATCTATTATCCCATCATCCCTCTTTTTTTTTTTTTCGAAATGATCCCTGAGCGTATAAAATTCCTCCCCCAACCCTCAATCGTATACTAATTATAATCAACCCCTAAATGATGTCCCTAAACCCAAGGGCAAGTTTTATTGGGAAAGGGGACGTCGTCCTCTAGAATTACTTCCAGCTGTCATGGGGGCGACGTTCTTTCTGGGGGATCCTGTGAAAGTGAAATGATGGTTAAATTTCAAGATCAATGTCTTTTAAAATTGCCAATAGTCTCTGAAAGCCGAACTTGGGGCCGCCAAGCCGAACTCGCGGCTGCGAGTGGGGAAAGGAGAGGTTCTAAAACCAAACGTTGGGTGCCAAAATGAAGGCGTAAGTCACAAACAATGCTACACCAATTCGGGGTTATGATTATTAGGGTGGTATTTATTTAAAGGGGAAAAAACTTACAGATCACTGTCCCAGGCAACAGCCCTCTACGCAACCAGGAAAGGAGTCTAGTCGCAGGCGGAGCAGGAAGTGAAGAGAGAGAGGAGAGGGAAGTGGCCGCTTTTTTAAAGGGAGAGAAACCACACCCCAGTGGGCTGGTACCTCAGCGGTGATAGGCTGGAGGAGTGGGAGGACCTCCCGCAACACTGTGGTCTTCAGGTATGCTAGAGTGTATGTGCTACTAAAAATAATACACGGATGTATGTTGGTGTGATTTAAATACAACCTTGTAGTATATTGTAGAGCTAATTAACACACGTGCACATACACACAGAGACAGAGAGACAAAAAGAGAGAGAGAGAGCCAGCCCACAGTCAATAATTCCTGGATGTTGCCTTCTAGTATCAACTGAATGTTGTAAAGCTAGAGAGAGAAGAAAACGTTCAGTACCATCAATCCTGAGACTCTGATACTCACCTATTACACAGAAAGGCTTTCGAGCGAACCTTAGTCTTCCTTGCCATCCTCTATAACGACAACAGCAGCCTGCAGACCAGATTCGAATGATGAACTCCAAGCCAAAGACAACGATCATCACGAACTCCTAGAATAACAGAACAGATGTCAGAGAGAAGCATTACAGAGTAACCTACTCTAAGAACCTGGGTGAATATTTCTGCACCTTAAATTACTGGGCTTGGGACATCTGGCTGATGTCTAAAGAACTTTCTTCTCTACAAAACTAGCCTGAAGACTACCAAAGCCTCCTATTTTCTGGTCTCCTATCATGGGATACATGCCTTCTCAGGTCTTTAATACTGTGAAGGTGTCAGTTTTAATAGAAAACACAAAGGTCGAATAGTAATGTTTCCTCACCTGGGATGTATAGCATCGCTGGCTTTAATTGCTTGTAACATGAAAATAGAGACTCTTGAAATACAATGGAAGTGTATAGACACTGAGCTTCATTGTGCTGCAAGGAGCGACATAATCCCTAAGATTGCAAGTTCCTCCCAGAGAATAAGAAATAACTTTTAGGAGTATTCACCCTTTGGTTACAGTATTAGAATCTTATTTTTTTTTTCAGTGTTAGAGTTTTCAAACACAGGAGGTTTCAGATGGATAACTATCTGTGTGACACATATATCTGCTGTCAGAAGGGAGACCCAGAATCCTCTAGCTGTGAAGCGTGTTAATTATCGTACTGCCCTTTGGCAATAGCTGTCTGAACAACAACACCTGCACCAGCAAAAAGCCTTGGAGATTATTTAGGAAAAGCTGTGAGTTAACCCCGGGGAAAGGCCAAATACAGCGGCTCTTAAACGGCCAGTCCCAGAGGAGGTTTGTCAGAGAAAATAATTCTGGATAAGTCTAGCAAAGTCACTTGGTACTATAGAGGCAGATCCTGAGTTTATTAAAATTGGTTTGTTTTTAAAGATATCTTTGCTGCTTGACAACAAGGACTGTCATTATTTATAGTACAGATGATACACATTAAGCAAGGTTATGATAATGGATGGATTATAAAACTGATACACGGTTGATATTAAAGCGGCCTCACATCACAGAAATGCAGATTGTAGAAATATCAAAGTTGCAAGTTGTTTTCCATGAAGGTAAATTTGTTATCAAACTCTTGAAAACGACATGTTTGTACATACTTCATGCCAACATGTCTTTGATTTATGTGATGACAGGCTATGCGTTTGAAATGTCCCCCAGAGGCACACTGTCCTATCCTCCTGCGACGCTGCACTGAAGCACACACAAACACTTCTCATGATGAGAGATAAATCCCCTATAGCATTGTGACTCACGATTACATAAGAGCGCTTCTTGGATCAATATCTGCAAATAATTTATGCACAGATGACCAAATCTATGGTCAATATAGCAACGGCGGGAATCCGAGGGTTTTATTTAGTTTTGGCTTGTTGTGGGCTTTGAAAGCTTGTGAGTAGAATCTGTTCATTTATTATGGTGTCAAAATGTTACACCATCTGTTTTTAAGAGCACATTTCTCAACGTCTAACAACCACTCCCTTGATCTGAGCTTGCGCACAACCCAAGTTCATTAGCAGCCTCCCTGCCCCTCCCCCCACTATTCTTTCCCTGGACCTCTACCTCTTTTAGGAAGGTTAGTACTCCAGGTGTGAGAATTCACATGATGGAGAACCTTCTTCCCACAAATCCTGATGTGTGGCCTCATTACACAGACATCACCATGAGATGATGCTTCTGTCTCATGTAAGCAGACAACTGAGGGGCTGGTCCCTGTTCAGATGGTGTCACTAAAAGGCAGGGAATGTGCGAAGCGCCAACACCTCTTGCGACTGTTTGGGCAGACCTGACTTTCTGAAACACTAGGTAATCCCATAACGGAGTCCCAGCTAACTGGAGACCCTCTAATTTGGCACCAAAGCCCAGGGTGTTGCCTGCTTCCTGCCCCTTTGTCTGCAGACGTAGTGCCTGGACGTACGGCCCTCCCCTCACACTACCACATAATGCCGGTTGCGTGCCATTCGGATTCATTGCCTAGTAACTCAATATAACCATAGCTGATTAGATAATGCGCATGTACACCAGGAAGCATACACGTTAAACAAGATCTGCACCCAAATGCCGGTCTCTAGAGTCTGCTTTCCGGGAACTCATCATGAGTCACTCCTTGCCCACTTCCTGGAAATTCATCTCTCTCCCTCCTCCCCCACTGAACCACAGGTGAGAGCGAGATACCCCCACAGATAACACCAGCAAGTACAGGGGATTGTTCTTAAGAAGAGGATGCTAAAAACCATTGGTCCACTTCTATGCTGCAGTGAGGCAGGATAAATTATGTCTACAAATTCTTTATTTAATGCCCATTATTCAGGAATATGGATTGATGCTTTCTGGTTTTGTTTTGTTTTAAAACGAGATTAGGGAGAAATGTCAACAATGCTTTCTTTGCGAAACAAAAACTTCTAGAACTGCACAGAAAACAGAGAAACCCACAGTTATATTTGGGGGCATCACCGTCCCCTTCTCTTAGAAGTCCTAGAACAGAAGTAGTGGAGAGAAAGTCAGCAAGTCTAAAGAGTATCCGAATAACAAAGAAATGGGATCTGGATAGAGATTTGCCTCCTCCACAACCCCAACAGAATATGCATCTTTATGTTACAAACTTCTTGATTTGATTCTTTTCTTCATTAAAATAATTCAAGATAGAACACACTCTAGGCTATCAATGAAATCATGTGGACTGTGTTGTCAACTTATAAGGGAGTTCAATTATAAATCAATAGTAAAAAGACAAGCATATCTCTAAACGTGGAAAATTGAAAAATACACTTTTATGCATTTTATTAGTCAAAGAAAATCTCAGGAAAATTATAAAATATAAATAACTGAAAAATAATGAAAATACAACCTACCAAAATGTTCAGGTGCAACCACCACAGTGAGGAGGGGCACATTTATATCACGAAATCCTCACATTTAAAATAAAAGTCTCAGACTAATAATCTAGGACCACAGCTGAAAGACTGAAGATAGAAGAATAAAACTGGTCCAAAGAAAGCAGAAAAGTGAAATAACAAACATAAGAGAAGAAGAGTGTTTCCTTTACCGCACAACCTCTCCAGCAGAAGTTGTCATCAGTGTTTTTGATCGTGGCCATTCTTACAATTTGTGCTGGAGAAGGTGTGGAATAAAGGGAACACTTCTGCATTGCTGGTGAGAGTGCATGGTGGTACAGCCCCTTGGGATAGCAGTGTGGCGATTTCTCAGAAAATTAGGAAACAATCTTCCTCAAGACTCAGCAATACCACTTTTGGATATATATCCAAAGGATGCTCAATCATACTACAAGGACATGTGCTCAGTTATGTTCATAGCAGCATTGTTAGTCATAGCCAGAACCTGGAAACAATCTAAATGCCTCTCAACTGAAGAACGAATAAGGGAAATGTGATACATTTACACAATGGAATATTTCACAGCAGAAAAAAATAACGACATCTTGAAATTTTCAGGCAAATGGACAGAACTAGAAAACATCAATTTGAGTGAGTAACCCAGACCCAGAAAGACAATTATCACATGCATTTACTCATAGTGGTTTTTAAACATAAAGCAAAGAAAACCAGCCTACAGATCACAATCCCAGAAAACCTAGACAACAATGAGGACCCTAAGAGAAACATACATGAATCTAATCTACATGGGAAGTAGAAAAATACAAGATCTCCTGAGTAAATTGTGAACATGGTGATCATGGGAGAGGGTTGAAGGGAAGGGGAGAGAAAGGGAGGGCAGCGAGAAAATTGTATAGCTCAATAAAACCAGTTTAAAAAAAAGGGGAAAATAAGAGAAGAAAGTAATGCAATAGAAAGGAAACAGAAAATCCATGAAACAAAAAACTGCTTCTATGAAAACAATCAATAAAATTGGCAAATCTTTTGTAAACTGATAGAAATCACCAATCTCAAGAATTGATAGACATGGTGGCTGTGAAAAATCAGTAAGGAGTCTTCATGGGTGTAGCTTCTGTGAGCACGAGAAGACAGAACCTCCCAGCAAACCCCTGCTCTTTTGGGTCTTACAACCTTTCCACACCTTCTTATGCAGCAATGTTCCCTAGGTCCTAGATGTAGGAACGTTTTGCAGATGTATCCATTGGGATTGGGCCCCACAGCTCTGCATTTTGATCAGCTATCGTGTTCTGTACTGGGCTCCATCTGTTCTAAAGGGAAGTTTTCTATGTAAGTTTGGTAAAGTGGTGGTTGTAAGTTCTTTTCCCTGATTCCGGACTGCACTACCACTGAGTAGTTGGCTAGGTTTCTAGTACCAGGCATGATTTCCTTCTTGTTGAGGGTGTCTTAAATCCAATTAGAGAGCTGTTGGTTCCTGCCAAAGTATGTGTGCCACTACGGCATTCTTAGGGTTCTTGTGCCAAATTAATCACTGTGTGGTTCATAATTCCAGAAAGTCTTACTAATCTGATTGCCTAACCATGAACTGAACAAGGATAGGGAAAAGCCTCAACCCTATGCCAAGAACTAAAGAATGCTAAGGGTGGGAAAATTGCCTTTCCTAAGGAAGAGCATACAAAGAGTCAGCCCTGAAAACAGACACAGAGGTAACAAATAGATGGAGCAGGTTATATTTGGGAATAAATACTCATGTACATATATGCATGCACAACACCAAAAACAAGGAACGAGCAAGTAAGGGAAGGTTTGGAGAGGAAAAAGGAGGGCGAAAATGATGTGATTATATTATAATTTCTTTTTAATATTTATTTATTTATTTTGGTTTTCTTGAGGCAGGGTTTCTCTGTAGCTTTGGAGCCTGTCCTGACACTTGTTTTGTATACCAGGCTAGGCTTGAATCTGCCTCTGCCTTCTGAGTGCTGGGATTAAAGCTATGCTCTACCATTTCCCGGTTATAATTTCAAAAAAGAAAGGAAGCAGTTAAAAACCTGATAAAGAAATGCTAGGAATGATGATGTACAGATAAATTTCACAATATAGAAAATTGGACAAACGCCATGAAAATAAAACAAATAAAAATTTAAATAGTTTTATAATCTATAAAAATTTAAATCCATAATTTAAAAGATTC